AATTGAATTCGCGAGCCGCACCTTGTCGAAAGCAGAACGCAACTATTCGGTCTCGGAGCGTGAATGCCTAGCAGTGCTGTACGGAATTGAAAAATTCCGACACTACATAGAGGGCTACAAGTTCAAAGTGATAACGGACCATAGCTCTCTGCGCTGGCTAAGACGCATGAGAAACCCGACGAACCGTCTAGCGAGGTGGGCTCTAAGACTTCAAGGATATCAATTCGAGGTCGAGCACCGTAAAGGAGCCCTGCACGCGGTTCCCGACGCACTGTCACGCGCGTTCGAGGAGGACGACGAAGATGGGCCCACGATAAGTGCTCTCACGTGGTCCAAAGAAACGAAAGACGAGTGGTACCTCTCCAAAATCGAAGAGGTCAAAAATGAACCCGGTGCCCATCCGATTTGGAAAATCACGGGCGGTAACCTGTACACTTACCGCCCCGACCGAGCTTTCTCCGAACTGCTTGAGGACGACGAGGCATGGAAGTTAGTAGTGCCCCAAGAGCAGAAGGGGAAAGTTTTGGCTGAGTGTCACGATGCAGTGACAGCAGGGCACCTGGGACGAGACAAAACCCTCGCCCGCGTGCGCCGCCTTTACTTTTGGCCGGCACTTAAGCGCGACGTAGAAGAATACGTACGCGGCTGCCAAATTTGCCAGCAGTGCAAAGTGGAGCAGCGACGCACATATGGGCTTATGGGGCGGCACAAGGTTGAGCGCCCATGGCAGGTAGTGGCCGGCGACGTTACCGGTTCGTTCCCGCGCAGCCCCCGGGGTCACGAATATCTTCTAGTTTTTGTCGATTTGTTTACGCGTTGGGTGGAGTGCGTACCAATCCGCCGAGCCAACGCCAAGACCATCGTTAAAGAATTTAACGACAAAATTGTAATGAGGTTCGGAGCGCCGGAACAATTCCTCTCGGACAACGGGACGGAGTTTAAAAACCAACTCGTCGAAGACTACTTGGCTAAGCAAGGCATAAAGTCCGGGCTAACCCCCGTGTATAGCCCTCATGCCAACCCGACAGAGAGATACAACCGAACTCTCAAAACAATGATCGTCACCTATCTCGAAGACCACCATAAAAATTGGGACGAAAAGCTCGTCGAATTGTCCTTCGCCCTGAACACGGCCATACATAGCACCACCAAGGTCAGCCCAGCCCTTTTGAATTATGGCCGACAACCAGTTCCGCCCGGCACTCAGCGCCGCCAACAGGATTCGGCGAGCGCTGAGAACGAAGAAGAACAAGCCAGGGCAGAATGGGTCGAACACTTAGGGCTACTGAGTGACTGCTATGAAGAGGCCGCAGCACGCACGAAGGACGAGCAAGAGCGCCAGGCGCCCCATTATGACAAAAAACACCGGCCGCATAAGTTCAAGGTCGGAGACTGGGTGTGGAAGAGGAATCGGATCCTCTCCTCGGCGGCCCAAGGCGTGACGGCAAAACTAGCGCCGAAATATACCGGGCCATACGTCATCACGAAAGTTTGCGGCAACAACGCGTTCGAACTGGCTAACCATCAAGAAGAATTAGATACCCTCGTCCATGCCAAAGACCTCCGCCAGTTCTACAACTCGGCCGAGTACGAGGGCCAAACCCAGCCGGAAGACGGGGAAGACGCGGCTCGACCGCCGAGGAATATAAAGGCGAAAGGCGACCCGCCCGAAGCGTGCGACCAAGCGAGCGAGCGCGAGTCCGAGGAACCGGGCGAGCTTTCGGATCCGACACCCGCGCTGGCGCCAGCGAAGCGGGGACCAGGGCGGCCGCGCAAAGTCCAAGCGACAAGCCCACAGCCCACGGTCGCGAAAAAGCCACGGGGCCGGCCTCGAAAAACGGCACGCCTGGTACTTCGCACAGCGACGCGGACCATACCGAATCCGAGCCGAGCCGCCGAAACGAATAAGCGAAAGCCTGGAAGACCGAGAAGGGCTTAGCGGTCACACCCGCACCATTCGCTATCATTACCCCCGTCAATCATGATCATTCATTCACCTCATACCATCCATTGTCATCCCATTACAGATGGAAGACGCAGTCGTGGAAATTGCCGCTTGGTTCTTCGGCCACGCCCGTCACGAGGATCTCGAGCGGTCGGAAAAGAGGGCCCTCTTCGGCGCCCGCAAGACTTTTGAGCGGATGCGCGTCGAGGCCCTTGAATTAGAGGGCGGAGAGAAGAGGGATGCACAGTTCGCCCGTATCTTCGACCAGATCACCAACCAGATCCGGGAGGGCGTCGCACAGGACACCGTGCTCCGCCGGTTAGACGACGCCCGAGCCCGACTCATCCTGCGGGTACAACAGCTGCAGAAAGAGGGCGTCATCGCGCCGCCACACCCAAGGCCGAGCCCAAGGCTCACCCTAGAAGAGGTCCGTGAGACCCCGGAGGGCTGGCCGACCCGAGGCGGGCACACGAGCCACCCCGCCCCGCCACCAAAGACGTCGGTGCACGCGTGGGTGTACGGGCGATACGCATCCAAGGGTGTACCTACTGGGCAACCCACCTCAAGTTCGAATCGCCCCACGCCCAAAGCTCAGGACGCCTCCTCGCAGACCACCGGCGAGAAAAAGGACGCGACCACCCAGACCCCCCGCTCGGAGGTGCACCGCGGAGTCCAGGTTAAACCGTTCCGCTGGGCGGTGTCAACCCAGGCGACACCGACCCAACTAGACCGATCGACGCAGGCCTATCCCGACCAGCAGGAGCTAGCCTCGCAAACCTGGCCATCCACGGGCGCGCCAGGAACTTCGACGGACCGAGAGGAGGCTCCGAATCGAAGGGACGCGCCCTCCGAGTGCGGCCGGAGGCCATGGGACGTGGGCAGCAACCCCGGAAATACTCCGAGGCCTGCCCGCGTATACCCCTGCATCGGCCGGCCGTACGAGAGCGCGGATTGGCCCACCTCCCCGTTGAGCGAGTGGGCAAGCCGATCGAGCGAAGAGGGCTGGCCAAGCATCGGGCGAGCGCTGGCCGAGCTCGGGAACGCCTGGAAGTTCGTCATGAGCTTCCAACGTCGAGTTCTGACCAAGTCGGCGCAGTTCCTGGAGCTACCCGGTGCGATAATCCTCCTGGACCCGTGGCTTGAGAAACTCGAGCGGTGGCAACGCTACGAGTTGGCGGTCCGGGCAATACAACGAGGGCAGTCGCCTGTATTTACGGCGCCCCCCCCAGTATTGCCCTATCCGGAATTCCGCCGGGCGTCCAGCACGGAACACCAGCGCCGCCAAGGGCCTAGAGCTTCTAGGCCCACAGCCCGGACCGCCCGACCAGGACGACGAGGACGCGGCGACCCCGGAGCCAGCCTATCACGGCCGCGTGAGCGTAGACGCCAACTCTTCAGGGGGAAGCACAGTGACGGTCAATGTCAGCCAACGTCACGGGCGCTGGTCGGAATACCAACGGAGCGCCCATTCCCTGGGGAGAAGAGAGCGGAGCCGCGCGAGGAGCGCGAGCCGAACCCCAAACCCCAACATCGTCGACCCGGAGGGACGCCGAGAGGGCCAATCGCGCCGAGACGCCGAGGGATGCTACGTCTGTGGACATCCCGGCGTCTCCAAATCATCGCGATGCCCGAACCTCGCCCGCCACGGCGAATTCCGTCGCAGCCGCAGCCACCGGCGTCACTGACAGTCGTCCACTAGGACAGCTAAATAAAGGATTTCTACCTCATGTCACCGTCGCATTCATTTCACTTCACCCCTCTCACCTCGCTAGTCCTCACCCTCGCATAATCATTCCGCGCTAAGATCGTCGGAGACTACCTCGGGTATCACCCGACTAGGAGGGGGCTATAACGGCCGGGACCGTTTTCGCGGAAGATTGTCCGCGCGCGAGGCCGAGCATGGCCGAGCGGGCAAGCGAGCGAAGAAGGAAGAGAGAAGGCAGGCGCGTGCCGCAGCGACGGACTAGGGTGGGGAGACGATTTTCGACACTTGTACTGAGACCGGCGAGCTATAGGGAACGCCACGTGCGCACGTGGACAAAGAAGAAGAAAAAAGAAAAGTGACCTGACTTAGGAAAAAGTGCGAGTGCGAGAGCAGATCAGGGACTATCCTCAAAGATCGCCGTAACTTGTGCGCTGTCGTCTGGAGTGGGCGATCACCAAGGGCAGAACTTGCCCGCCCGAACGAGGGCGATAACGCGGGCGACGAGAAAAGGGTAGTCTGTCTGCAGCAGCTACTTCCCGGTGAGTTCCTTTCTTTTGACAAGTGATAACTCGGCGTGCGTTTAGTTACGCGAGCGAGCGCCTCTCTCTCCCTCCGGATTAATACGCGAAGCGAAATCTCGGCATGCGACGTTGTATGAAGAAAAAGCCCATACGAATGAATAAAGCTTGATTTGATTTGATTAAGGGTTGACGTTGTGTTGGTCGTACCCAGGAAGGCATCTCTGTCCCTTCCCACGCCCGTGATTGGAACTCACGCACGCTCTCGTGCATTTAGCCGTGCTTTCGCGATCCCATTTCAGGGCAGCGCGTGCCCGCCCGTATTCGGCGGAACGCCAGGAAGCGGCTAGCTGATCGGGGCGGCGGTGAGCCCCGCACCGACCAGTGAAAATAAAATCTTTAACGGGCTGTGAAAATAATCTAATCATTTCTCGGGCCGTTACAAATATAATAATAAAAAATAATCTAATATAAATTAAAATATTTAATTTATTCAAATTTTTATTTAATAATATTTTAAATTCATTATTTAAATATTTAATAATTAATATAAAAATTATATTCCAACGAGATGGAATAAATCAAAATATATTTGGCATAAATAAAAGAATGTAATTTCTACTAATTTAATTTATTGAAAATATTAATGATGTAGAAGGATCAAAAATAAAAAATAAATTTATTATCATTTTATTAAATAATTTAATTTTTTTTTATGAATATTATTTAATTTATTAAATTTATATAAATTTAAATTATAAATAATTATAATTATAATTATAACAAGTAAAGAAAAAAAATATACAAAAATAATCATAATATTGGTCTTATTTAAGGAATAAAAAAATATTATAAAATAATAATTTTAATTTGACAAATTAATGTTATAATTTAACTAATTTTTTATCAATTGATATCTTAAATTTAAGATTTGATTTTTAAATCAAAATATAGTATATTAATACATACTTCAATTGATTAATAAGCTTTTAATCAATTTATAAATAAATTTAATGATGTTCTTTCAATTACAATTGGTATAAATCTATGATTAACTCCACAAATTTCTGAACATTGTCCATAATATAAACCAGGTCGGTTAATCATTAGATTAATTTGATTAATTCGACCAGGAATTGCATCAACTTTAATACCCATAGAAGGCATTGCAAAAGAATGAATTACATCAAGTGATGTAATTAATAATCGTATTTGAGTATTAATAGGTAAGATTATATTATTATCAACATCTAATAATCGAAAATTTGAATTTTCATAATCTTTAATTATAAATGAATCAAAATTAATATTATAAAAATCATTATATTCATAACTTCAATATCATTGATGACCAATACATTTAATAGAAAATTGAGGACTATTGATTTCATCAGTTAAATATAAAATTTTTAATGAAGGAATTGCAATAAAAATTAAAAAAAATATAGGAATAATTGTTCAAATTATTTCAATTATTTGACCTTCAAATAAAAATCGATTAATAAATTTATTAGTTAATATATGATATAATATGTATATAATTAAAGTTAAAATCAATATAACAATTAATATTGCATGATCATAAAATATAATTATATTTTCTATAATTGGTGAATTAGCATCTTGTAATGAGATTTGATTTTAAATTGATATTTCTAAAAATAATAATTATTATATATATAGAATTTAAACCTATTGCACTAATCTGCCATATTAGATTAAATTTTATTTAATAAAAATTTTAGGAATTTCATAAATTGAATGTATATTTAAAGGTTGGCATATAATTCTTTCAATTGAATTATTTAATGAAAATATAAAAATAATGATTCGATATCTAATAAAACTTTCTCATAAAATAAAAAAAAAAATAAAGTACTAAATATAGAAATAATTGATCCAATTGATGAAATAACATTTCAACATAAATAAGAATCTGGATAATCTGAATATCGTCGAGGTATACCTCTTAGTCCTAAAAAATGTTAAGGGAAAAAAGTTAAATTAACACCAATAAATATTATAAAAAAATGAATTTTTAATCATTTAAAATTTATAGATAATCCAATTAAAATTGGAAATCAATAAATAAATCTACCAAAAATAGCATATACTGCTCCTATAGATAAAACATAATGAAAATGAGCTACTACATAATATGTATCATGTAAAACAATATCAATCGAAGAATTAGATAAAATAATACCTGTTAATCCTCCAATTGTAAATAAAAAAATAAATCCTAATAATCATAAATTTCTAATATTAAATTTAACTTTAACTCCATTTAACGATGCTAATCATCTAAAAATTTTAATTCCTGTAGGAATTGCAATAATTATAGTTGCTGAAGTAAAATATGCACGGGTATCAACGTCTATTCCAATAGTAAATATATGATATGCTCATACAATAAATCCCAATAAACCAATTGTAATTATTGCATAAATTATTCCTATAGTTCTAAATACTTCTTTTTTTATACTTTCATTATTAATTATATGAGAAATTAAACCAAATCCTGGTAAAATTAAAATATATACTTCTGGATGTCCAAAAAATCAAAAAGGATGTTGATATAAAACTGGATCACCTCCACCAGTAGGATCAAAAAATGAAGTATTTAAATTTCGATCAAATAATAATATAGTAATAGCACCGACCTCTTACTTGTAAATTATTTAAATTTTAGAATAGGGTCGGTAAACATCTGAATAACTATAAATCCGTAAGGATACAATTTAATCGGAACGTTAATGATTTTCCGGTCGGTCTTCGGTTAACAAAGAGAGAGGGTCAGCGCAAATAACTCAGTCACGAATTTCCTTTGTTTGATCTTACCGCTCACACTCGGTTCATAAAATGACGGAAAAGTCAGCGCGAATATCCTCGATCTCAATTTTCATGGGTTAATCCTAACGCTCACATTCGGTTTGCGAAATGGCGGGAAGGTCAACGCAAATAGCTAATCAAGATAATTTTATTCGATTAAACCTACGTTCGTAATAAATAACTAACGAAAGGTCAGCGCGAATCTTAACTCACAATTTTTATTCGTAACATCTAACACTCAATAAAAGTTAACGAAAGGTCAGCGCGAATACTAAATCGCAATTTTCTTTCGTAAAATCTAACACTCAACAAATAGTTAACGAAAGGTCAGCGCGAATCCTAAATCGCAATTTTCTTTCGTAAAACCGAACATTCAATTTACATCTACGGAATGGCGGACAGGTCAGCACGATCCGATAGGCACCGGCGTCGACGGATCCACGCGTCGCGACGACCTACGGCACTGAACGATTTATTCCCGCACTCCGCGATTAAATAAAAATGAGTAGCACTTTGCCTACTTACAATTTTTTTCTTGCGGTATTGGCAAACAAAATTGGCAAAAATATCTGAGAGGCGTCTAGCGCTCATAATTCGGCAGCGAGATTAGCTGATAGAGAGGCTCCTTCTATCTAGATATCCAGTGGCAAAATGGACGAGAATCGGCTTCTCGCGGTCAAAGATCGCTTTTCTTCTCCTCTTTCCGAGAAGAAATGTTATTATTGGTCGGTATGCTAATTCGGATATCGGTAGCGCCCTCCGAATATTTTATTATTGGTCCGTATGTAAATTAGAAGGATACAGCGCCCTCCTTAACTCTCCTACTTTCGTCATTATTTACCCTCTCTTACCCCCCACTAAGGTAGCTATCGTTAGTTGTTGGAAAAGATCTACCCCTACTCTTATCTATTTGTCTATCCGGACGGAAATCAAATTTTATTCTAATTTGCTCATTGGTCGTGACGTCACTAGCGAATTTTGTCAGAGGTTCAAATTCGGTCAGTTAAATTATTATTTAAACCTAAAAGGGGTAGTTGTCGTTCGCTATCATAATAGGGGTGTCGGTCGCGTGCGAATTTTACACTTCGATATTTGTTTCATGTCCATTCTTTTCTAATTTATAATTTTAATTTTATTGTCAGAGATACGTATATAATATACGCCGTTTCATTTGTAGCGCCCTCATCTTCGCATTTGCATATTATTCTATCTATTATTTTATATCGTCTGTCTCGCTCGCTCTTGTTTCGTCTATTTCGCACGCTCTGTCTCGCTCGCTCTGTCTCAGTCTGTCTCGCTTGCTCTTGCTTAGTCTGCTTCGCTCGCTCTGTCTCGCTCGCTCGCTCGCTCTCAGTCTATATCGGCGCTTCAAGATGGCCGCTCAGTTCCTAGCGCGTACGCCTCCTATCCTTGTGCCGGTTGTTGGGAGCGCCTCCTGGGGCGCTCCCGTGTCGGTTCTTTGATGTTCCCCCGGGTGTTTGTGTGTGTGGTTGCTGATATTCGTGTGTGTGGCGCTCAGGATGTCGCCGATGGTGTTCAGCAGCCCGACATAGCTGATGGCCGGCTGCCACTTCATCGGCGATTTTCTGCTCGCCCCAGGAGTGTCAGTGCCTCGGGAGTGTTAGTGTTGGTGTCTGGGAGTGTAACGGATCTGCATGTGTCATCAACATGCATTTCCGTTGCATTTCCCAGTCAAGTTTTGCATTTTTCTTTCGCTGGTCGGCAACACGTGGTCGGGAGTGTATGTGAGTGAGTGTGTGCGTGCGCTCTCTTTTTCTGTGGTGCGCTCCTTTTTTTCTGTCTGCTCTTTGAGCGTCCGTCGGATCGCGTTAGACAAGTTTGTTTCGTCCATATCTCCGACGTGGTCGTTCGGACATAAAAAAGAGTAATTGTTCGGTATAGGGCGCGTTTAACTTTATTTTATACAACCGGTTACGGGGCGGCAAGGGACGGGGATGGCCTTTCTGAGGTGTTGCAGTACTCAGGAAAGGCCTTATAATGTACCGCATTACAGAACCCCCCACTAAGCCGGTACACTACCGCGTGTACCGCCAGTTTGCTTTGTTCCCTTTTCTTGCCGTCCCGTTCTCAGTTATCGTCAGATATACCAACATCTTACCTGGTGGGGTTATCCCCCTTAGTCCGTGATCTGTTCTGGTCGGAGTCCGGTGCGTGCTGAGTCGGCTTGGCTGCATCCTCCCTTCTCCTTGGTCCATTAAGTCTAGTGTCTAGGTCGGCAAGGATTGGTCAGGAGGGGTTGAAAATTAATACGCAGGTTGGTCAGTTTAAGCCAGGGCTTGGCCCTGGCATTTATTCCGGTCAATACAATCTGGTGGTCCGTCGGCGGTTAATGATACCCACGCCTGCGGGAGCGATCGCGCCTCTCCACTTCCTCCATCTCTTGGAGGGCACGCTGAAGTTGTTGGAACTCCCTCAGGCGTAGGTCTCGGTCGTCCTCTTCATCGTCGGAGGTCCCACGGTTGTGCGACCTCCGGAGCAGTTCCCTCGCCCGCTCCTCCGCCGATGGCCTGGCGGAAGAAGCGGAGGGTCCGGCGCGGGGTATCGCTCCGGTGTCAGCCGTTGGCCTCTCCCTCGGTGGCCTTTCCTGGTATGGAGCTCGGCCCTGGGTTGCCTCCTGGTAGGACGGTGGAGGGTCCTCCGTCTCCCGAGGGTCCGAGCTCAGCTGGGTTGCCTGGTCTTGATGGCGGGGCTCGTGTGTGGAGTTCTGGTCCCAACCGGACCCGGAAGAAGTGGACGCTGGTCTGTCCACTTCGTCCCACCCACTCCGTCGGCTGGTGGTCGGTCGAGGTCTCGGTGGAGGGATGTCGTTCCCCACCGCCGGCCACAATTTCCGCAAAACGTTCCCTCTTTGGGACGGGAACAGTTCCCGAAATTGTGGTCGGTCTGCCAACAGTTAAAGCATGCTCGGAGGGGGGGATCAACCGTCGGGTCGGTTGGAATCTCCCTCAACTGCCCGAACCTAGCTCTGGTCCGGGGAGGGAGTCGACCCCAGGATGGTATCCTGGCCGCAGCAGCTGGTCGTGTTGCTGCGCGGCTGGTCGGGGGTCCAGGTAGGTCATCCTCCGATCATTCGGAGGATAGATCTCCTGCACCCACCAGATCGTCCAGCTACAGGTTGCGCCGCCGATTGTACTTGCGGCGCTTGCCGCTGGCCGTCCGGTAGTGCAGGCCCTGGACCTCTGGACGGTCGACGGCATCCATCCTGGTTGTCGCTATTGGCCGGGTGGTGGTGGTCCGGCCAATTGGGGTCGAGGTCACAGGCAACCAGCCTGGGTGACCTCGACTCCTTGTGGTCGACGGCTGTACGGTGGTGGCTGTTGAGGTCGATGGCTGGTCGGTCGGTGCTGGTGGTGGATGGTCGGTGGCTGGTGTGTGGTCGGTCAGTGATTTTGGTTGGTGTTGGCGTGATGGCTGTTGGTGGCTAGCCGATGGTGCTTGAGGTGGATGGTCGGTCGGCGGTGCTGGAGGTGGATGGTCGGTCAGCGGTGTTGACGGACGGCTGGGCGGTGGTGGCGGAGATGGTGGAGGTGGACGATTTTGCTGTCCCTGGGCATCGGAGTGAAGGGGGGCGGAGCTGGTGGTCCAGTTGGTTGGAGGTTGATGGTCTTCCCCTTCCCAGCTGGTACTGACTCCGTTCCCCTGCCCAGGTAGTCCTCCAGCTCCTTCTCCGCTTGCCCGTCTAGGGACAGCTGGGACCCCTTTGAGGTGTCCGAACAATGGGATTTTAAGGTCCCATGTTCGGACAGAATCTCAGCTGTCCTGCCGTCCGTTTGGTCTGTTTCCATCTCCTCCCGGATGGCGCGGACCACTTCCATTCGCCGGCGTTCCTCACGCCGCCAGTCCGACTCAGGGATGCGGGCCTGAAACGTGAGGGCCCCGCGAAGGAGGCGCTCCCTCTCTTGGCCCTCCGGGAGTGGTTGAGGTGGCTCCTCCTGTTCCGCCACTTCCATGGCCTCCAGGCGAGCCTTCTCCTGCTCGATTTCTTCCACCATGTCCTGGATATACCAGGCCGACGGGTCTCCTGTCGGGGGGGGGGGGCTCGATGATGGGCTGAGCCCCTACCCTCTCCTGGTACCCAGGCATGGTGGCCAGTGCCTGCAAGCGAAGGCTCTCCTCATGGCGGTCGGTTTCCGGGGCCTTAGCTGGTGTGGTTTCCCGCTTCCTGGTCCCCGTGATGGTCCTGGGGACGGTGGACAGCGGGATCTTCACTGTAAGACTCAGGCCCTTTTTCTTCGCCATGAGGATCCTTGGGGCCATGGTAGATCTGAAATTTAAACAGGTTAGTGCAACGGTCTTTAGGTCAGTATCGGGACAGTACCGTGCATGCACTTATCTGCTGAGGGGTGTGGCTTAGTCAACGACTATACCCCCACTAAGCCTGGAGAGGCTAGCCTGTCCAGGCGTGGGACAGCACATCTAGAGGTCAATCACCAATGTTCGCGTAATTATTCCCCACGCCACAACCGTGTTAGTACGCGAGTTAAACCCATGAGTCGGACAATACAGGGTATGGTCAGATCGGTCAGGTTATCTATGTTCTCTTCATTTTAGTTTTATCTAAGGTCATAATTATTTTTGTCAGGGTTCTTGAAAGGTTTCAGTTGTTCAATATGAACTTTACCAACTTTTTTCTTTGTCAGTGTCTCGATGGTAAATACTGGGTCTGAGAGTTTATCTAGCAATTTGAAAGGTCCTTCATATTTTTCGCTTAATTTGGTCGAGAATTTATTTGCTGCATTTGATAGGTGATGTGTTTTGATCAATACTAGGTCTCCGGTTTTATATTCGGTCAACTTTCTTCCAGTATTAAATCGGTCGGCCATTTTCTCATGCTTTATCTCTAGGTTTCTTTCAACTAGTTCATATAGGTCTTTTAATCTTTTAAGCCTTTCTGTCCATTCCTCTGGTTCTAGTGTCAGTTCTAGTTCGTTTGATTCTACTTTTCTTCGTAAACTTTTTATTAGTTTCGGTTGTCTGCCTTAATTCAGGAATGCTGGGGATGTTTGAGTAGCTGATTGTATTGCCGTGTTCATGGCGTGTCGGAACTCATTAATGTGTTTATCCCAATTCCTGTGGTCATTTTCAACGAACATTGCTATCATAGTTTTTATCGTTCTATTACTTCTTTCGACGGGGTTAGCTTGTGGATGATATAGCACTGTCGTGTTGTGTCTGATACCGTATTCCTGTAACATGCCGTCTAAGTGTTTATTGACGTATTCTTTCCCATTATCGGTCAGTATGTAGTCGGGTGTTTCCCATCTGAATATAACGAGTTCTTCTAATGCTTTCGCAACGTTTTTCCCGTCTGCAGAGCGTACTGGTTTCATTTCTAGCCAACGTGTAAAGAGGTCTTGGAAAACTAAGAGGTATTTATTTTGTGTTTTGCTTCGGGGAAATTCCATTATGTCAAATGCTACTATTGCCCATGGTCGGTCTATTTTCCGTGGTTTCATAAGGCCTTATTGGCCTAGTTGGCTGGATTTATATCTTTGACATAGCGGACATCTTGTGACGAAGTTGTAAGTGTCAGTATACATTCCTCGCCAGTAATATTCGGTACTAATTCTCGTATACGTTTTCTCTATACCCAAATGTCCCGCTACTGGAAGACAGTGTGCGTTTTTCATGATTTCCATTTGGTATTCGTCAGGTAATACCAGTTTCCATTCCGTTTCTCCATTTGTTAACGGGTCCATAATCGGGTCTGGTCTGTTATAATATAGCATATCGTCTTCAATTTCCTAGTCAGGGTATTTATCTGGTTTTTCTTTTACGTCTTTACGTTTTTTCAGGTACCAGTTGTCTTGTACTGTGCTGAAGGCTGCGATTTTGTTAGCCTCTTCGTCCATTCGTGACAGGGCATCAGGTACTTTATGCATCGTGCCTTTACGATGTTTAAAGGTCACGCGTTCTTGCATCAGGTCGCATATCCATCTTCCTAATCTACCTTTTGGTTCCTTTATGTTAAACAGGTATATTAGTGCTGAGTGGTCAGTAATAACTGTATAGTCATATCTTTCAAGGTACGGTCTTAGTTTCTTGATGGCATATACTATTGATAATAATTCTTTCTCTGTTACTGAGTAATTTCTTTCTGGTCCAGTCAGTGTTCTGCTAATATATGCTATTGGATGTTCGCCATCATCAAAGTTTTGAGTCAATACAGCACCAATTGCAAAATCGCTTGCATCTGTCTGAACCGTGAATGGTCGGGCGAAGTCTGGTCTTGCTAATACTGGAGCTTCTGTTAATGCTTGTTTCAGCTTGTCAAATACTTCTTGTTGGTCAGTTTCCCAGTTGAATACTTGATGCTTCTTTAGAAGTTTTTGTAACGGTACCTTTATTTCCGAACAATTTTTTATGAATCTCGAGTACCATTCAACCATTCCCAGGAAGCTACGTAGTTGTTTTACCGTTTTGGGTACTGGAAATTCTAGTACTGTTTTAGTCCGGTCTGGGTCAGGTCGTAGTCCTTCTTGGTCTAGCAGAAAACCTAAGTAATTTAAACGAGTACAGCCGAATTCGCATTTTTTCGCGTTTATCTGCAGTCCAGCTTCATTAATTCGGCGTAGTACTAATTCTAAATATTTTGTATGTTCATCGAAGGTCTCAGTTGCTATAATGATGTCATCAAGGTATGGAAATATTTGAGGTTCCCAGTCAGGTCCAAATAATGCATCAGCTAATCGTTGAAAGGTCTCTGGGGCATTGACGAGTCCGAATGACATAACTATGAACTCCCACAATCCTTCACCTGGGCTTGCAAAAGCTGTATATTCATAGCTGTTTTCATCTAGGGCTACTTGGAAGTAGGCTTGTTTAAGGTCAATTTTGCTAATATATTTGGCGTGTCGTAATTTGTCTAATATTGAATCCATGTTAGGCAGTGGATATGCGTCTTTCGGGGTCATACCACTATGATATCGTCCAAATAGGCGAAAGCGAATTTGCCTAGTTCGGGGCCGATCACGCTATCGATCAACCGCTGGAAGGTGGCGCCGGCGTACGAGAGACCGAACGGCATCCGCACGAACTGGTAATGTCCCAGTCCGGGTACGGTAAAGGCTGTAATTGGCCGAGATTTAGGCTTGAGTGGGATCTGGTGATACGCGCTGCTGAGGTCGAGCGTCGATATATAGCGTGCGTTTCGCAAACGCCTTAATATATCTTGCATAAACAGTAAGGGATACGCATTCGGCTCGGTGACTTTGTTGACCTTTCTGAAGTCAATACAAAATCTGTACGAACCGTCCTTCTTGCGTATCATAACCACTGGGCTCGACCAGCCACTGTCCGCTGGTTCGATTACCCCTTGGGTTAACATTTCCCTTACCAGTTTATGCATCTCCTGCTCGACCTTATGCGATACCGGGTAGTAACGCTGTTTGATTGGCTTCATATCACCGACCCGAATCTCGTGCTCGATGCCTGCCGCACATCCCAAGCCCGTCGGGGCTCGAGATAGGGCCTCGTCGATGGTCTTCTGCAGCATGGCCTGTTGGGTAGCCGTAACCTCGGCTAGTCCGATTGTAGTAAATCTCGGACCAGCCTCTAAGCTAAGCTAGCTACTTCTAGATCCATTTTAGCCTGTGATCCCTTGAACAGCAACGTGTTATCGTCGGGGTCAAGTACCGCTCTGAACAAACTGATGAAGTTCACTCCTAAAATACATTCTTCGACGAGGGTAGGGAGGATGGCTACTCTCGTCGGCATCGTCAATCCTCCCACGGTGAATGGTAGCAGGGCGTGACCAACGATCGTTAACTTACGACCGTCTGGTAATCCTGCTGTACCCGCGTGGGTGGTGTCCAATCTGACGCCCAGCACAGACGCTATTTGTAGAGCATTACTACCCATGGCTGTGGTGGAAGCTCCCGGATCATAGAGGGCCCGTATTTGGAAGTCCCCTATTTTCACCGACAGCCACCAACGCGTCTCCTGTTCCGGGGAATATCGGGAAACAGCTTCGACGGCTCCACAGCTTTGCTCCTTATTCATCATAGCGCTAGCCATTGTGCTGTCGCGTGGTCGAGTGACGTTACTTGTCGTCCGAGCC